ATTTAAACAGACTATGCAAGAGGTAGTAGTGTTTGAGGTCAGAAAAAGACACACTGAGTTGTGAGTCAATAGTTGACAACCAAGATGTTTTGACTAAATTATATAGCTTATGGACTTAATTACATTTTATAGCTTTGTCAGACAGATTTGATTTTGATCATGCTTTTGTACAGTGATCATGTGTCTAAGTAGTAACATAACATTGACGCTCAGTCATAATCCACATACTGTCGCCTAGTATCATTCTCGGCGTATTAGTGATCACAGCATTTAAAGGTTACTTGGTATTGAAACCGATGTGTTAACACATCACTGAGACAACTTACTAGCAAGTGTCCTAACTGGGGATGTTGATGTAGATTCAGTTGTCGTAATAAGGTTGGAAAATTGACCAAATTATGTGCAAAGCAGTTACAATTGTCTTCAGAGAATTAAATGGCAAGTTTCAGACATAGTTAAGATCATGTATCCAACAGTGCTGTTAGAATGTGATATCAAATGGTTCTTTTAAGATATGTGATGCGCTGTTAAAATAATATAAATAGAGAATGCTAGCATCAGAGGCGGGTGCATAAAGAAGTTAGCTCTCCGTGAGGTAGTAATGCGCGTGTGTTCTTGGCGTTATCTGCTATTGTAGACTTCTGTCAGTTGGATTCCAGTACGATCTACAGGGACAGAACAGGCATAGGGATCATGAAAACATGATGCGCTGTCCTACTGCACTGCTATATCGCTCCTACCTAGGTAGCAGTCGATGTGTTTACATCTATCATTGTTATTGACGGTTAGTGCCGCTGACTTATATGAGGTGGGTCACTTTCATACATTCTCGCCAGGTGTCATCTTTTATATTCTCATATAGCTGATGTATACCACCAGCAATAGTATGGGCAGATTTAAATGTGACTAATAATGGCAGCAAGATCGTCAACTGTGATTACCATTTCCCCATTGGAAACATATGTGTTACAAAATGTCACGCCATTCAGTAGTATAGTCCACAGTTTTAGATTTTCATCTGTGTACTATGTAGTGGTCTGACTCCATATTGCCAACTTTAGCATGGTGTCTCGAGACTAATAAGCGAGATTAGAAGGCTTTATTTATTCCAGCTAGATTCACATGAGATTGTGCCTATATGTATTGACCAAGTTTCGATACAGGGGTAACTTGAAAGTTAATTAAACAATGGTCAATGTATCAATATAAACCACTGATAATGTATCATGATGGTGACAAAAAAAAATGGATAATCAAAATCTAATGTCTATGCTATTGATCAAGCATTTGGTATTCATTATTTTTCTATAATCAATATGAAATAATTGGTAGTTGCATTCTTGCTGTAGGACACCCATACTTTGTGTACTCTCCTTGATGCTGATTCGTTTGCAGTCCGTCTCACTGGTGGCTTACTTTCATGGCAGCGTCTAACTCATGACTCCTCATGATACAGAGGGTATTAGGTAGGCACTGAGGGATGTGTTGTCTATTCCCTTCATTAAACACACAGGACGGCTCACTGTGAGATCCTCATCCGGCGCAGATGTGAGAGCACCCAGGGGCCCGGTGCAGCCCGTGACGCCGTATTCCATCAACACGCGCGTCCTTTTACGAGGTGAGCTCTGTGGGGACCTGAGGAAGAGACCCCCTCCCCTCCCGCTCTCCTAACCAGTCAGCCCAGTCCCTCTTTAGATTAAATTAAAGACACCATTCGATAAGCAAAAGGTGCTGTCAGCTGGCGGCAGCCTGTTGATCATATTCCTCCAGACACACACAACCCACACAACACACACACCACACACAACACACAAACACACACACACACACACACACACACACCACAACACACACACACACAACAACACACACACACACACACAACACACAAACCACCAACACACACACACACACACACACACACACACACACACACACACACACACCTTAAAAATGACAACATGAAACAGAACAGTTTGAAACCGTTTGCTGAGTTATAGTTTTGTCCAAAGCAATCAACCCCCTAATTGTTTACAGTTTCCATTTTCCCTGCGTCCGGCGTCTCTCACTTTCTCCTTTATGTGTTTCATGATTTATTTTGGAAGTGTTGCGATATAAAGCAAACAATCCTGCTCTCTATCCAAACAAGGCCAAAATAATCTAGTTGCTTTGTTTGTCTGCTCCACCATCTTCTTCCAATATGAAATGTTCCAGATATGATTTTTGTGAGCTCAGAGACTGCCAGTGTGTCTTTCGCCTATAAATCTCTCGACGAACTCTCTGGAGTCTTCTGCACAAAACATGGCAGATAAGAATGATAGGAACTGCATGGGGAGGAAGCACTGGGTTCAGGCTGAACATACATAGCATGTGTAATGATAGAGGCTGCTGTCTCTGGTAAGCATGTTTATTTGGTACTTAACACCAATTATAAAAAGCCTATAATGTATGCATTGTTAAAATACAGGTGCCTAATTATGCAAAATAAACTGCTTCAACAATCCCTGTTTAATCAAAGTTGGTTTGCAGTTTTAACATTTCTAAACACGATACTTTAAACCTACTTCATCTTACTAAACCTTATCAGCTGCTGCTAATATCTGTACGCTGCTATACGAGTAAACATTAGTGCTATCAGAAACCAGATATGTTATCTCTCTGAAGCATGCTAAATAGTTACCGTGTGATGTTTGCATTTCACCACACTTGACGAAATCCCTTTTTTTTTTTCATCCAAACATAATGTTTCATTCCTAACTTTAAATGTATATCAGCTTGTGGCTGTTTTAGTCAGTGACCTACCTTCTTTGAGCCAAATCCAGACTTTCCTCCTCAGCTGAATGCTCCGTTTGAGCTGTAAAAAGGAGGGAAAATATTGAATTAGGATGTATTAAGGGGAAGATAATAGGGGTTTTTGTGCTATGGATAAACATGGTTTTCCTCTGATAGCCAATAAGAACTGATCCCAGGAACACTGGTGGTTCCAGAGGGGGGCGCTGTGTTCATTAGCCATCCCTAAAGTTGTCAATGAGGAAGAAAAGAAGAAGAAAGGGGCTCTGGGCTGAGATGTCAGTGACACGGCAAGCGTGTTATCCAAGTGACAGTTAAGCACATTGTAAAGTTTGACGTGCTTCTGTGCGTTGACGCATGAGAGTGTGAGCCTGTGACGCCTGGGCTCGGGGCGGGGGGGCCGTGGTCTGTTTTGCGTGTGTGCGTCCACATACATGTGCATGTTCTAAGCAGAGCCGAAAGCAGGGGCGCAGGGTTGAGCAGAGAGGCTTGGGAACTGGAGGCTCCTGTGGACTCCTGCCATGTAAAAGTGTCTAAATAAAAGGCAGATGTGTGCGGCGGGCCAGGCCGAGGTGCAAGAATTTATCTAGGGCCAGAGAGTGCCTGTGATCTCAGATTTATTGCATTTTTCCAGATTCATCCTTTTTACAATGATGGGGGACCTTTCCTACTTGAAGATTTAAGAGGGGGAAGTCTCCAAAAAATTGTTCAAAGGCAGGTTTGGGGGTCTTTTGGGAGAAGGTGAGCTTAAGCCTCTGACCAACTACCTCTTTTACTTTCACTCTTTTTTTTTTTTTTTTTTACATGTATGTGACTAAAGGGGGCTGAGGTAAACCTAATGAATGAAAGTTGTGGCCATGTCTGGGATAGAAAAGGGGGGGGCCGTGACCAATGGCGTTAGTCTCAGTGGGGGTCAGGCTGGCGCCTGAGGTACCCCTCTGGTGCGACTGTGCAGAGGTGGCACTGGAGCCGAGAGGCTGAGGGAGGGAGAGAGAGAGAGAGAGTGGCCCAGGGAGAGAGAGTGTGAAGTCTCTCTTCCACCGCTCCCTGTGTAAACATGAAACCAGTAGTCGCTAACTAGAAAGTTATGAGATGTGCATGCTGAGAGGGACAATAAATTAGGGCTTTAAAACTCTGACACACTTTTCCAAACCACGGCTATACCTAGCAGCTAGAAGACAAAGAGATGGAAAGCAGTGTTAGAGGGATGCTTGGCGGAAATCCTCAGCATCCCTCTCTCTTTCCCCACATCAACTCTACTTAAACACACATTCACGTCTTCATCAAAAACAGCTTCCTCAGACAGTTGTCATGTGCAAATTCTACGCAGTCTACGTAAGTGGAATCTTGGTTATTGGGGTCTGACTCACTGACAACAAATAAAAAGTACACGGATGTGATGATACACATGTATTCCCTAAGAGGCCCGGCGAAAGGAGACTTACATAAAGCAAAGAATAAAAGCAGGAATTTGTTTTCAATTAGTCATGGCCTTGTTTACAACATCAAAAAATGCCGCTAAGAGTATCCCCAAAGGTTTCAAAGAGCTCCTATTAAAAAAGGGAAAGGAAAAAGGTGCTTGATTATATGATGAAATCGCCACGGGCAGTTTTTTCTTTTTACTTGGAGAATAGTTCTGAAGATAGAGAACAAATACATGTTGTTGGCAGAGGGAACTTGGCTCAAAGCAGGGAGAGGGTGAGCACAGGAATACCCTTAAGTATCCCGTGTTAGACCTGGTAGAGATCACACAGCCAAGTTTAAGAGGCAGAGCGGGGCGTTTGGGTTCACCTGCAGGCCCTGCTGTGAGCTTCTCAACAGGCGGGGTTATGGGTCAGCACTACTCAGTCAAACAAGTCTCAAGTCTTGATTCGCTTCTACACTTTTGTCTTGTTTACAAAGGAAGAAGTTTCCCTTGACAGTTAAATTCAATATGTTCAAATCATGTGTCAAACACATGCATCTGGCATCAGCCTCGTGAGCGTTTACCTGGGTGAGAAATGTATTCGATCACTGATGAGTCAGAGTTTAGAGCCTCAGCCGCTCTTTGATGTGAGGAGCTTTTGCTTTGTTTTGCCTTTTGAAGTCATGGATTCATCACGAACAATGATTACACCCCGCTCCTCCCAACGCACGGGCAACGGCTCGCGGAATTCTGTTTATAAAAGCGAGGTTTACAAGTATCCCACAGGAGAGTTTATGTTCAAGATGTGCCTTTGCAAATCAATGCCGCTTTGTAGCCAGTGGCAACCGCAGTGGTTTCTGTAAAAGCTTTTGCGATAATGGCCAAAGGGGAGGCTTAAGCGCTACTCACAAGTTGTTAAGGGAGATACACTAACTAGAACAATGTCATGGCACATTTCCATTAAAACAAATTGGTTCGGTATGAAATAACAAACAATCAGAAACTTTACTATAAACATGGACTCTCCACAGATGTTCACTCTGCACCGTAAACATACTGCTCAATCTCTTTGGGAGATACCTCTTCTGACTCTTTAATGATGGAGTGAGTGTATTGTTTCAGATTTTTTTAAGTGGGGTTGTATGAGGTACTTATCCCTACAGTTGATAGCAGTCAGCATGCCCCAAGTTGGAGAAGAAGTCAGGAATACTGGCATTAAGGCCAAGATATGTTCTACTGGGGACGGAGGCAGCAGCAAAGTGTATTAAATACAGGCCCTCCTAAAGAAGGTTAATATAAACCAGCCGCCCGACTACATTAACAGGCATTGCTGGTTTATTGCTGAGTTTCGGGTCTTTTTTGCCCACATTTTGAGATATCCTCCCTTAGTTTTAAGCCTCCATGTTAATCCAAAGCACCCTCATTTCCTACTGGTTTAAAGTGCTTATCATAAAACTGTCATGCATTTAGCTATTTTCCAGCTATTTATCCAGGCACATCTGAATCAAGAGATGTGACAGCAGAAGAAAGAAATGGAGCCATCTGAGGTAAACTAAGAGATCTTGGACACAGCGGAGGGTTCGTGTATAAGCAGCTTAGGTGAAGCAAAAGTGGAGCAGCATATGGGTGTATAATGAGACAAAAGTGTACACAGAAACCTTCAATAATGAACCAAAAAAAGCACTTGTGTTTGAATTCTTACATTGTTGATTTTCTCCTGCAGAAAGTATTAAAGGTCGAAAGGGATTTATTTTCCTGTGCATTTCAGCCCAACTTGCAGTTTGTGATTTCGGCAATAGAAGAAACAAGGTAAGGATATTTAGGGTGGCAGTTACTACAACTATAATAAATGCTCAGAAGACTAGTGTGTGGATCAGAAAGCGGACACACGGGGGGATGATCAGTGTGTCCCGGGGGAAGCTCTGCCCCTGTCCCGGTGGTCCCCAGCCATGATCCACTGAGGCCGGCCAGTCTTTACAAGGCGCGGCCAGAGGTGCCCTGCCAGCTTTATGGCAGCAGAGTACATGAGAACCATGTTAGAGGCAATGTGATCCCTTCTACAGGCCTGTAGACTGTCCTCCTGCTGTCTTACAGCGCACCGAGACGCCCTCTCCCAGCAGAACACAAACACATGCTCTGAAAGGCAGATCTGACCATCAGTCTGACATGGTAAAAAACATAATTACATCTTTCTCTTTTTTAAAAGGTCTCAGGGTGAAGACGGGGCTTTTCTGCTCTGTAAGCACAGTTTAACGACTAGTTCCTAACCTCCATCTTTGAAGACACTGACCATTTCTTTCAGGGTCATTTACAACTTAACATAAAGACAATTCATCTTATGAGCAGGACTGAGTAAGAATTTGTGCATGAAGAGATTTGGCAAAGATGCTTTCTCTTTATAAACACAAAACTGAGTCCATCACCTAATTCGGGATTAAATAAATAGTTAACATATCAATAAATAATTTCTCTCTTTTTGAAAAAGAGATAATCTTTTGATGCCTAAGTGTCATTGTCGAGATGTACATAAAATCTGCACGGTTTACTAATGATTCATGTAAATATATTTAACAATCCAGACTCAATATGTATACATGTTCATTTCATTTAATTCATTTCTTGTTTTAACAGTTAATAACCTGTATATAATTTATATTTTCATATTTAATTGTATTATTCTTGTGTGAATCTGTACCGTCCTGATTTTCACTCTCACCCTGGTGCTGCTTAAAATCCTGAATTTCCCCACGGGGTTTAATAAAAGTCCATCTTATCTTAACTTATGTTTTTGCTGTTAACATTTCTGTGAATTTAGTAAAATAATGGAAGGGGAAAATAAATACATATTTATAACTAGCAAATAATTTCTGTTTCCATACTGTTTTCGTGTGAGCAGTTTTGCCACAGATAAAACATTTTGACTTACCAGCAGAGACGAATCCGGCCATCTTCTCCTTGAAGGGCTGGAGGTTTTCTTCCGACGCGTTAGCACACACCTTCTGTACGTTCTTTTCACAAGCTGTCAGAGAGACAGAGGAGACAGAGGAGGGAAATGAGGAATGATATAAATGCATTATAATAAAGGGAATAGAAGAAAGATAAACTAAATGGTAAGAGTTAAGTCATTAAAGGACATAACTAATTAAGAACTTAAAAACAAATGAATAATAAGGGGAGGTGAAACACAAGATCACTTGAAAGAAGCTTGAGCTCTCTTTAAAAGCCATTTTATTAAATTAGAAACTCACAAAATGTTTTATCTTAACCTGAAAGCAAATAATCTACATTGTTCTTATTGTTTTCTTTCAGTAGCCCTCTTGTTGTTAAGTGTGTGGAACATTATGTGTTTTACACTCAAAATAATCACAATTACTGAGTGACTAAATGTGCCACAATGGAAAACCACAGACAAACTTCCCTTGTTACCTCCCCCAATGAGGGGGAGACACAACTGGGCGTAACACAAGGAATGAAAGAAAATGTAATTCAACAAAAAAAACAGAGAGAGCATTTCATTCAGATTTCAAAACATAAAATTATAGTTTTATTTATAGTTTAATTCATTCGTTTTTTTCATCCTTTTTCTGTTACTAATTGATTTTAACGGATACTATTAGTGGAAAGAGTGTGTACAAATCAGTGATATGTGTTTGATTTTTACATGATGTTGTTGTTTCCGATGTCCTATTATTGTAGTCTGGAAAGATGCAGTCAGGCACATTTCTGCTTTGTATCTTGCGTCCGACCTGGTTGTCCATGTGAGAGCAGCAGATGTGTTTGCTGTTTGTGGACGGGCTTGGTGCCAAATGAGCCAGCTCACACAGAGGAAACAGCCGTGACTGAGCGTGTTCCAGCCGAACCTCTCCACTGTAAGCCTGGGTTACTTTACACACAGACGCCTGGTGAAAGAACTTTGGCACATTCCTCCAATCTGCAAGTCATTATTGGCCGCAATAAATACCTTAACTTGCTTATGACCGCATAGCATAATAGTGCCGCAAAACACAAAAGGAGCGTTAACAGGTCTGGCCGCTGTCTCACTTCACTGCGTCGTAGCTTTTAGATCCGACTTTGACTCTCATATGTTCGCACGTGGAGCCGCTGCACCTGCAGCTCGGAGACCTCAGTCCATTACATCTTTTATTTATTGGCTGTCTTGATAGATCAGACAGGAAACACGAGGAGTAACTAGGTGCAGTCTCACAGTCGGGATCCCAGAAACCCTTATTGGATGGTTGGGGCAGGCAGTTGTGAAAATAAAAAACAGAAATCAGCAGGCACACAAACATGACAACCAAAATATCCTGTTTAGACAAACTGCATTTCATTACAAGAAATCCCCCAACTCAAAAGGACCCATTAAAACTGTGTTCAAAACAGCAAGTCTACAATTTAAAAAGGTGGCTCGCTTCCAAATGTGGTCCAGACAGCAAAGGCCGCAAAAAGGAAACCCACAAAAACAGCAGCTGTAAAGAATAAAAACTCCAGTTTGAGACATTGTCTTGGTTTTAGAGTTGAGTATTGAACAGGAGTATTCTGCTTCATGTTGAAGGTCGGACAGAAAAACCTTTAGGGCCTTTGCCTACAGTTTTTATGATTCACTATTGGTCCTAAATAAAGCCAAAGGGTGTGTTAGTGGAGTGTTAATGCGTCGCTCTGCACAAACAGTCCCACAAAAAACCTGGAAGGGACAAACAAGAATTAACAATACGTTTTATTAAATGTTTTAAAACAAATTGTTTTTATGTTCCGCTCTGATGTGTGAATACAATGTGCTGACAAACTATTTTGACAATAATTGTTTCCTTTCTTCATGTGGTCCTAGTCATAACACATAACTTGCTTAAAATGTTGATAATTATGGCATCATAATTATGATTAACATTTTTTGTAGGTAGGAATTAAAATATATATTATAGTAACAATATAGAGATGAATATGCTGGTAAGGTATTTTTAGTACATTTGTATGATAAGTAATTTGAATTTTTTTTGGAGTCACTGACAATTATTTTTCTTAATTCTCAGAAATAAATTACAAAAATAAAAATGTATATATTTTCTCTAATCAATCAAACGAAAAGTGCACGGATGTGATGATTCCCTAAGGGCCGGCGATCTGTGCATATCTATAATCCATACTTTTGATATTTAAATAGGAAGTTAATAAACCAGAATAAAAGTCTAATGACCATTCCGATATACAAGTGACAAATCATGAACCCAAAAATCGAATATTTTTTTAATTAAGGTATCGTCTGAATTAAAAATATTTACGATGACACAAAAGAGAATTAAATGGCAAAGAACAGCTAAGAAAAGTGATAATAATCACTGCTCTTCTAATGGAGACTAGCTAACAAAACAAAGCTTGTTTTCCAATTTACAACAGCGACTTCACTAGAGTGGTGCCCCCTGGTGTCAGACAGTGTGTCCCGTCAGGTTCTCAGTCAGGTCATGTAGCCACAGAGGACAGTGTCCTACCACAGACACACAGACACACACTACACACTACACACATTTACTTAGAGGGAAAAACAGATGAGATCACAGGCAGTGGTCTCAGCATTTTTGGAACTGAGGTGCTAATGTATTCTCCATCAAGACATCATTGAACAGGACTGTTAAAAAACATAATCCAGATCAACATTAAGCACTTTTATGGAATGTGTTAGGCCAGCAAATAAGGAGGACATTTGAGCTCTTCATGAGCCACATGTGAGCTTCCATGTGCAGACAAATCCAAGCAGATCCCCAGGTAAAGATGCCACAATGAGTGAAAACACAGACTGAATCAGAACTGGTATCCTGAAGCACTCAAGCAACACTTGCATATGCAATTCTATCTAAAGGAATCATCCTCTAATCTATCACATCCTACGTGGGGAGAGTCAAGCAGCTATTGTGTAATAATGACAACAGCTGTGGGTAACTGGAGGCGGTGGGAGAGTTAACGGGAAGAAAACAGACCTCTGCTCCAGGATTTACCCTGCGTGGTTTGCAAAAAAATGGGCGCCTTTGATGACAATATGTAATTATGATTTTACCGCAGTGAGCCAAAGCCCCTCACTACAGCTACCAGGAAATCACATCACACCAAGACAATGCACAACTGTGTGTGTGTGGATTATGAAAATGCTTAAACAGAGAATGGGCAGCCTGTGGAGCACCACAAGATGAGCAAGCTAGTAGTGTGATGAATGTTTCTGTCTCAAAACACCCCGCAACCTCCTGACACTGTAGCTCTGGATCATTATTAAAAGTAAACACTGAGGGAGATGACAAGCAGGCAGAGAACCGCATGAAAAACACAAAAAAGATTTGTTGCCATCAGAATTACAGTCCCAACTAAACCAATAACTCATTTGAAATCTTGTTATTTTCAGTTTTACAAATCCGTTTGTAGAACCAGATAGTGAATCTTAAGCCCTGTTGTAAAATAATTAATTCAATTGGGAGGTACTTTGGAAAATGTTTTTATCAGAGAGGTTAAATCCGTACAAGGCTCCATCTCTGGCATATTTTTTGTTATTTATACCTGGAAAGTGAATTTTCTCACTGATCCCCAATTATCTCCAATCCCAGCAGACTGTCAGACTTCCAGCTCCCCCTTCTACGGGATGAAGCCTGCTACCCCCCCTTCGCTGAGGCCAGCCAGGAGACTACCTCTGTAGGGAGAGAATGTTAGACACTCTCTCCCATTTCCCTCCTCATAAATCACCAGCTATCCATCAAACTATAACCCCTTTTCGTACCTTTTTGTTGGAGAATACTCTGTTGACAAGTAGAGACATCAGGCAAAATGTGCTGGCTCATGAGAGAATGCCATGATAAGTCATGACAATATGTATCTATGACAACTAATTAATTTAGTTGTACTTTTAAATAAACATAATTTTGATAAAAAATGTAATTAAATGTAGAAAAAAGGTGAACAGATTTGATACATTATTTTAGGCACACGCCATTTGCAACCTATCATTGACAAACATCCCAACAGTGTGCATTATTTCCCTGTTGTTTGTTGACTGTACCTCAGCATGCCGACTTCACACATGCCATTCCTAGCGGAGCCTCTGTCGTTAAACAGACGTCAGGCTAAAGGCCCTGCCTGAACCTGACATTAAAGGCCATTTAAAATCAGGACACTGTCTACCTTTGCCACAGTGATGAATGCCTAACCTGGGCCAGGGCTTCTATGAAACACTAAACTCCCCTGAGCAGCAAATGAGCTCTGACCGTTTCTTTTTATTTGATCCTATTTCATTCGGTAGCGTCCCTGCCTCTCTGTCCAGTCCAATTACGCAGCAGTTAAAGGGACCTTTATGTAGGTACTCACAGGACTGAAAATACAACTTTGAGTTTGATGAGCGAGTTTGCATGATAGAGGTTCAGTTGTTTTCTTTAGGTGATGGACTCTAATTGAAGATATTTGTCCTTATGAGAGCCATACAGTAGGTTGGTTCCTTGTGGCCTCCCTCTCCCCCTGAGAGGAGCACACAGAGAGGTCATCACCCTCTCCCCAAACAGGAAGCCCCATCAAAAGAGGATCATGTTTCTGCACAAGCCAAGTGAAGGAGAGGGCAGCCAAAGTGGACGGGGACCATCACGCTAACTAAATGCTAAACAAACATGCAGCATCTGAAAACACACTCCAGGGTTCATTTACATACAGTATGCTGAGATTTGAGAGATAGACACCAATGTTATGCTGTGTAAGGAGGAGGCTTAGCTTAGAGAGACTGCTCACAGCATAGAGTCTCCTGACATTTGACCTTAGCCTGGAGGGCGAGACACCGCCGACCACGGCAGTCGCCACCTCAGGATCAGGTGAGGGGTAGACAGAGCGAGTACCCCGAAGTGTGACTCAGTGTTAGCCTCTCGGTGTCAGACACAATTCACAATGTGGATGGAAGTGATCTGTGTTTGCATTATAATTAAGACCACTTGCTTTCTTTAGGCTGGTTTATAATAGCCCGGCATAAATATTTATTCCTGGCGGCTGGAGAGGATAAAAATGGTGGGAGTCAGAGGTGGAGCTCGCCAAACATCCAGAATCCAACGTTCGCCCTGTGATGCTAATACCCCCGAGGACTACTGTGCCAGACTGTGCTGCAGCAGAGATCAAATACAAGGGCCCTTATGTTGCATTTATTGTCTTCAGGTCTTCCATTTTTCCTAATAAATGAGTGACAGCTTGAGGTGGGTCTGGGTACTTTAGTAGACTCTTTGTATTTTTCCCCCAGGTCAGAGAGGAGAGGGCTTTAACAGCAATCTAAAAAACGTAGGGGAGAGCTGCCGAGCATATCTAATTGCTTTCATATGCCGTATTATTGGTTGATTTAAATAACCACAGACACCAGGGGCACTGGGGGGCATCGCCTTTAACCTCCGATTGGCCTGGGCCAAGACTGGCTGGCTGGCTGGCTGAGGGGCTCGGCGCCCACGACACTTTGAGCTCTGAACACCAAAATCAAGTTTACATTGCGTCAGTTATTATTCCGATGCTTCGTCAATGAGCTGAAAGTTGCCTTTTTTGGATTCAACTCCTACTCTAAAACAAAGAAATGCAGAAGAAACTTTGGCGCTCTGTCATAGTTCCTGAAACATGAGAGGTTGTGGTGTTATGATGACACAGCTTTTCAGAGATACAATGTCTGAAAACTGGGAAAAAGCCAGCCTCAGGCCATGCAAGGTCCTCAATACAACCCCAACCCTTCTTTACACAGTACAGGAAAATAACATGGAGATCAACATTTACATTCAAACTGCGCTGGTGAAAGATGGTACTGTATACAATTACCCTGACTGATTTACAATGAAACAAATGTGACCTAACAAAGGAAAATGCAATGTGGTGTGCGGTTTAAGCCTCGACAGCCGCAGTGGAAATGAATATGCAACAGGGTATGTCCTACCACTCAAATCTTTTTTCAGCTTCCTCATGTCCTTGGTGAGGTCTTCAAATTTAACCTGACCAGCCTGGAAGAAATCCTGAGGCTCAGGCATAGGGAACACACTCTTATCTGTGCCAGCGTTCTGTACCAGGGGAAGGAAATATACAAATATATATGAGTGACAGATGTTTTACATTGTGTGTATTGTGTTAATGTGATTGACAGAGTCTTACCTTGTCAAAATTACGCAGGTAGTACAAAACAACATAATCCACCAGGTTCATCCGATTGTCCTGATAAAGAAATTACAATTTTACTTTAGATATGAATATACATCTCTCTAATTTGATTGTTTGGCCTTACTTAGCTAACAAAATATTTACCAGGGAATTATGGCAGATTTTCAATGTTACATTGCATGTGTTACCCTGCTCTTGACGTCCTTTAATTTGGGAAGGATCTCCAGTCCGAAGCCATCAGCCTGACCTCTGGTCCTGTTCCCTCCATTCATATAGTTCCCAAAGGCCAGAACAAGACCCATCACTTCCCGCAAGCTGTCACACTCCAACAGTTCCTGACACAGAGACACACACACACAGAACCTTTGGGTTGATAAACCTTAACGCAAAAAAAAATTTGGCCGTATAATGTAACTCATTGTGCCTGACTCAAATATACCAAATAAACCTTAATGCAGCTTAACGACACTTTCGGAGAAAACTGCTCGTGGACATGGTGTTCTTACTTTGCTGACATTGGAGACGATCTCCACCTTGCGCCGGATGGAGGAGATGGTATCGAGGAAAACTGCCTGGAAGATGATGCAGTGGGCTCGGCCCTCAAAGTCGGGAATCTGGGAGAGCTCATAGAGAAACCTGGAAAACAAAAGGGGAGGAGGAGGTGGTGGTGGAAGAGAAAGGGGTGTGATGTGTTATGACAGAATTAAACAAAACGTCTAACAGGAAGAACTATTTTGGATCCTTGGCAGGCTGAGTCGATGTTGCTATTCACAGGCAGCTGATAGTCATGAGCGGCGCTGCTCGGCTGGGTTTGAAAGGTCCGCGGGGTCAGGTGGAGGTAGAGCAACGAGCGGGGCACGGAGACTGATCAAAGGAAGCTCCGGCCTGATGCGGGACGACTTATGTAAACAGTGCCGTGTCAGAGGGGAGCAGAGCGGTAACATCCTGTGTGATTAGGCCATGCTGATGGGGCTAGACACTGAGTAGGGATGACTCGGGCAGCAGTAGTGACAGCTCTGGTCAAACATGGAAATAAGAAGGCCAGGCCGAGCGGCACCGCTGGGTCTAGGCCTCGTTAATGGGCCCGAAACTACTTAACCCTGACAGGAACTACTGGAGCAATGTCCATTACACACACACAAAGTTGTAGAGACATTATGACAAAAAAGACTTAAGAAAGAGGGAATCAAAAAAATGTATCCCAATATTAGGCTAAATTATTTAATATGTTCTAATAAACTTATTAATTATTAATATTGGAATACATTAATTTTTTTATTTAATTCATTTGGGATTGGTCTGTTTCGTGGGAAATCTCTGAAAGTAAAGTAAATGTAATAGACTTAGCTAAACTACTGGTTGAAATAAGATAAATAAATACTGACAGCACTAAAAACAATATCTAAACCCAACTTAATTTATCTTAGAAATACAGGCGAGTTTATCATGATTTATGAATGTATTTAAAAAATATCTTACTGTTCGGGTTTGTCCAGCAGTTTGACTTCATCTTCCTTTGCATTCTCATAATGTTTCGTTATCTTGCCCAACTCATCACTGGTGGCCCTCTATGAAGAAACACACATCGAAAAAACAGGAAACATTTATAACCAATTGTTGCAATAAAAATAATATGACCTTTCTATTCTCGTTAAAACTGTTGGATAACTTTAGAGACTTGATTTTATTACAACAGATAGACCGCTCCTTCATACTTACATTTTCATATAAAGCCTCTATGGTCTCCAAATCCACCACAGAGTTGTCCACAGTAAGCACAGCTGGAACAGTAAAGATATTCATTATGAGCAGTCAGCCTTATAAATGGATAAGATCTTTGCCAAAGCATGCTTCTTTTTAACTGCTGCCAGTGTATGGAGAACAAACTTATTTTTCCCACAGTAAACTCATGATAGCCCTGTAACTTTTTCAAACTTCGGCTAAAAGAAATGTATATATTTTGCAATACATACTACATATTGGCAAATCTATATGCAATACATACTACATATTGTAGAAGAGAAATAATATTTGACTAAAAGCAAAGTCTATCTTCATCTACACTCCACCGACACACAAACCATTATTGAACTACGCAGCTCATAGCTAACTTAGAATGTCAGCTTGAGGTGGTGAAGCCAGGCTCTGGGTGTAGATATATGGAGGTCAGACTGGGTCTGATGCCAAGGATACTTTGGCCAACGCTGACTCAAAACAGATTGCCTGCTTAACCTCTTGGCTGACTGTAATGATTTTTAGAGATCGACAGGAGATGGTGAAACAAGCGAGAAACATAATTAAGGTTAATTAAGTCTGGCAAAGATCATGATTTAGCCACATAAAAACTGAGATGTGTGAAAAAGGTTTAAAGTTTCTTGTCCTGCTTTGCCTACTGGCTGTGTGTTTGTTTACCCTGACCCAAGTAGTAAAAACGAAAGGCAAAAAGAGAAAGTGACTCATGTTCCGTGTCTGAGAAGTGTCACAGGTTTATAGCTCAGTAAGGGAGGAGGACACGACAGGAGGGATGGCTCCAGTGCTGCACAGTCAGTTGAAAGTTGTCTGGTTGGGGTCAACTGAGGAGGGCAGCATACTCTCAAAGCAGTCCCTCAATGTGACTAAACATTACCAAGAACTGATGCAGTAACAGAACTGTATTCTACGTAGAATAGGCTCACACCGCCATACTTTCTGATTAGGGATATAATTGTATTTTCAGCTGTCAAAGTATAAAGATAACAACACAAGCTAGCTTCAGTAGGCTAATGCTATTAAACAACATAGCTTACATTTTCAAACAACAAATAGTGCAAAGTTAGCACATATAGGCATAAAGAGAAAGGCCGGAATTGACTGTATACAGTATGTAGCTTGTTGTATTATTGTATTCGATAGTAGTAGCTCAACGGTCAAATATCGTGTAACATAACAACACAATGTCAGAAAGTTGGGCTACTCAGCAAAGATTTACAAATGTTTGCTAAAGTTAGCTAATATAACAATAGCTTTTTACTATATTAACATTAAAAGCAAAGCTTTGTATGTTTTTGCCACTGAGGCTACAATTGACAATTATGCAATCACAACAAATAGTCAAAAGTGTTCTAGCCAAAAATTAACACAATGTTAGTTACACAGCAAAATATAGCAAACGTTTGCTAACATTAGCCAATAAATTACCAGTAGAAATGTTTGTCATGCCAGACCAAGTAACTGAAGACAATGGAATTCAAACATTTAATTTCTAAAGACAGGAATGTGTTATTTCATGCCTTTAAATTAAATTAATATTGAGATAATAATTTATTGAATTCTAGCTACTACCAATATTCATGTATAGTATACATTCAAGAATTCGAGTTTTGAAAAAGGTTTAAGGTAGAAAAGTATGTTTATAACAGTTTAAAAAGTGCTGTTTTTAGAGTACCACGCATCATTTATCAAATTGGGACAGGTAAATGAGAGTATTTTAACACCACAGCCCTAGTCTTTTCAATGACTTGCTTCCAGCTAACAAGGTAATACTTTTCATTCTGGTTCCCAGCTGTTCTTGTGGCAGAGAAGCTGTCAATGTGGTCCCATGTCTGGATCACAGAGAATGCTGGAGGTCCACTTCCTACATCTTATTAGAGTGGATTATTCAGTCCCTCAGCCATGCAGCCGTCAATCACACACCAAAGGGGGGCCTGCTCCAGTGTGCACAGGAGCACTCTGATCCGAGGGGAGCCGGATATCTCTCCACACCAACAGATCAAAGCCTGCCTGCCAACCGCCTCACACCCTCTCCTTCTACTTTTCACTCATCGGCTTTGGTGTGGAAGGGCATGTGTGGTATGTGAACATGTGTATGTGTGTGTGTGTGGTTAGTTGGTGTGTGGGGGAGAGCCTCCCTTTGCCCTTGAACCATGGTGGCCCTTGAGGTCCCCCAGTCACTCCGGCGGGTGCAGTTGACCCCCTTCCTCCCTCAACCAAAGTGCTACCTTTCCTACTCCCCTCTTTCCCTTTCTCCCTCCCTCCCTAGTAGCTCTAATTACATTACATGTCCCATGTCCTTTTAATTTGGCAACAAAGGGGAGGCAAGAAGGCGAGGCCAGGGACTAGAGGTCTTAAAAGTGCTTATTAAGGGCCATCATTGTCTGATTCAAATTGTCCATTTCACATACAACACCCATTAAAGACACCAGGAAGCAGTTTCATGCTGGGTGTTTAACCAAACCTCCTCTACAAACTGACACTGGAACAGAGAGAAAAGGATTGAAGGGTTAGGAGAAAAAAATGGGCGTCCTGGTGTTATGTGCTGTTTGGCTTGTGTTTGAGGTGGTTTTATGTGGTAGCGCAGTGTCTGCTAACTGTGGAAGGTGGTTTTGTACATGCTTAGATCATTAGTGGGGTGTCAGTCCCATTAGGCTTGTGGAAACCGTCACTGGCTACAATAAACAGATCTGCTGGCCGCATGCTCAGACTAGCAGGCGGCAGGCACTCTCCGCCACAGTCCCATCTACGCTGTCCCCAACACACATATTATGTGTTTAGACACACATATAGCCACTTTACCACACACACACGCCTGTATTTTCCACAGAACAACCAAGCATGCAATCAATTCATGCAAATGAAAAAGTGTGCCATTTGATTTTAAACAGTGCAGGAGGTATTTAAAGCAACCTGACAGGAAAAACTGAAAGGCTGCTTTTATCCGTCTCACATTTTGGCAAACTAGGCATTTTCTATCTCATCGTGATTACTGGAAAAGTAATTCACGTTCCATTCAAAACAAAAATTGTTAATATTAAAAGGTGCCTCTAGTTACAAATTAATAGCTGTCAAGAGCTTGGAAATAATTCCCTGCTGCAGGGCTCACTATCTCATCTCTAAGAATAACTCCATCTGCATTTCATCAGGAGTCATCCTCAATTTATTGTTAAACGGGACTGTAAATTTGGTTTATTGCTGTTGAATTGAAATAGGAGCTCCTTCCTCGAAAGAAATCAAAATTAAAATCATAGTGTGCACAAAGATCTTAAGATTTCCAAACAGACTGACATCGGAAAATACTTGTTCACCTTGCTGAATGTCCTTCATCTCCAGATGCAGGCTCGATATTAGAATGCCGACTGCTTGCGAACGCTTCCCATCCAGCAGCTTGATAATCTGAGAAGAAAAAAAACGGAAACACATTATTCCTAGTATTAAACAGGGCGAGTTGGTGGAATTCAGAATAAACCCCACAGTGTGCATTTCACTTAATAATGCTTAAGCTTAATTCCAAATGTTAAATAAAGTATAGTGGCTCATTATTGAGAAGAGAACAACATATGTATTATTGCCACATTGTTGGAAGTTGGTTTCACATTTCAAATAATGTTAGGGTTCATTAAGAAACCTTTACTCGAAATTAAACCACCAGATTTCTTCCCAACAAGAGTTTATCATCAATTTCATTATGCAAACACAGGCATAAAACAAGCTGAGGAACAGATGGTGAATAAAAAGTTAATTTCTGTGATGAGAGGCCGGTTGAAAATCACTTAGTCACTTCCCCTGGCTGTGGAAGCAGATGATAGATGATGAGCAAGACAGAGTGCCTGAAGCCCAGAGCAGCCTGGGAATCATCTCGGTTGACCCACACGACCAGACTAATCAACACACATTGTCGTAACCCATCATTGTGATGCAAATGACTGGGAAATATGCCGAACACACGTAGCTGGGACACACTTTGTCAAGTTACATCAATGAGGGAGCAAAGTCAAACAGAAAAGCACCTCCTCCAGTTTACCGAAGAACATGTGTGAGATATAATCAAAAAATATCAAGTCGCAGTGAAAGTACAAAGGCCAAAGTTGCACCATAAAAGGACAGTCTAGAAGAGCAAGCTTTTATAACAAACTATAAATTCACAGGATTTTTATTTGTGCGTACACATGGTCACAATTACTTATGACTGAATTAGCCGTAAAGCCAGAGAGAGTTTTGGCAAGGTAAAGCCCCGCTCTAAAAGTTAATGTGTCAGGCTTCTTCATTAGGTATTATGGCAGTGTCGGCTACTGGGCTGTCCAGTGGGAGCTGGAGAGCCGAAGCCTTAGAAGTGGGTATTGCATTACAGGGCGTTAGTGGGTGCCATGCTGCTTCCAGCTCTATTACCTGGATCACTGGGGATCTCCCACTCTAGGGACTTGAGACGGCTGAGTACCAGGCTTTCCCAACACCTCTAATTAACCACTTTGGACGGGCCACACTTAAAGCAGTCCAGGAACCCTTCCCACTTACTGTGGCTACAGAAATCGCCAAATTGGCTCAAACAGTTACGTTAATGAGAAAAGACAACTGATGCTGGATGCGTGGTTTCAGACAAGCAAAACAGAGGAGGGAGACGCGTGATGCTGATGCTGAGACAGGTACAACAAATAGCTGATGTCTCCCTCCTGGGGGCAGAACAATAATTTAGTTTGAAATGCAAACAGGTCAGAAAGAGAGAAAGGCGAGCCGCCTAAGGAAATAAACAAACTAATGAAGGGGAGACACTGGGAGTGTCGGCAGTTTGAGCTGAAGCAGGTGGCTGATGTTATGCGAGGTGGGCAGGGGGACGCTGGTTCGGAGCCGAGAGGAACGTTTACACAACCACGGATGAGCAGCCAGCATGCTCCGCGGTGACTGTCTGTCTGACTATCTGTCTGGAATCACCCAGGCAGATGTTACAATAACAACTGGATCAAGACTTCACATCCATAACCACCTCCGATACACTCCGCAACCCCAGCCGTGTTAATCTTACACCCACTCTCCCACGTCACAGCCACAGCTTCAAATATGTCTTTAATAAACGCACCATGATTGCTCATAAGTCATCCCCATAAACCAGTTAAAGCTGATGTTTGTTTAAGGAGATCCGCTATGTTTAAACTTGATACAGGTTTGATTTATGTGCTTAGGCGAAATGACCTTTTTTGTTGTTCATATTTGCTCATGTACAAACTTTAGCTCGATTCATTTCCTCATCTCTGCCTCCCTTCTAATCCCTCAATCAAGTATGCACCGACATGCACATCCTCCCCAGCCCCCCCAGCACCACCACCACCACTCCTATAGGTGCCCCGTCTTCATTGCCTCCTCTCACCAGTGGAGCGGAGCCACATGCCTGCAATTACACCAGAGTCCAGTCCAGTCCGGTCTGCTCGGGCGGGAGAGCTGTCTTCCATGTCATCTCCTCTGCTTTGATATGCTAATCAGCAGCGAGAGAAGGGCTCCAGAGTAAACAAGAGCTTTGATTTCTCTGTGGCACACATGATAAAGATTATCTCACTCATGTAGGCATCGTCTGCATCCCCCGAGTTTCAACTTTTTGCGGAGTGTGGAGATGTTGGAAAGTGGGGAAGTGGCTCATATGCATAATGTACACACACATTCCATTCCCTCCCATTCATCTCCTCTCGCCGCACACACTGCCCCAGGCCGTGGTGTTAGCATGATCTGGCAGCACTTTCTGAGCAAGTGCATAATGACTCGCGAGGAGGACGTGCCGTCATCACACACGTGCGTTCAAGCACACAGACGCACGAAACACCGAAACGTACACATGCCGGTGCATACACAAACACAAGGAGAAACAAACAAGGTAATTGAACACACACAAATACCAACACAGATTCAATGCCAACATTATAACAAGAGGCAGGTCTCCCACCGTGTCCAGCGGTATTGGCAGACATCAGAATCCCTTTACTAGTCCCACGGAGGGGACATTTGCGTAGTTACAGCAGGAAAAAGAGCCACAGACAGCTTAATGTTACATGTTAAATATGTGACATGCATTTAAAAAAAAAGTACTAAGTTATGATATAATTTAAAAAATATATATATATATATATATATATAAAATAAACAATTACATAATTTCAAAAGAATACACATCCTGTAACAGTTCTTAGGATTTAGCAGCCAGGTATATATATTACAGTTATTAACGGCATCTACAGTGGGGCAAAAAGGTATTTAGTCGGCCACCAATTGTGCAAGTTCTCCCACTTAAAAAGATGAGAGGCCTGTCATTTTCATCCTAGGTATACCTCAACTATGAGAGACAAAATGAGAAAAGAAATCCAGAAAATCACATCACATTAAGAGCCCCCTCTGTCCTCCACTTGTTAACTGTATTAATGGCACCTGTTTGAACTCGTTATCAGTATAAAAGACACCTGTCCCCCTGCTTAAGCCAGTACATGTCCAGGCCCGTCTGAAGTTTGCTAGAGAGCATTTAGATGATCCAGAAGAGGATTGGGAGAATGTCATATGGTCAGATGAAACCAAAATAGAACTTTTTGGTAAAAACTCAACTAGACGTGTTTGGAGGAGAAAGAATGCTGAGTTGCATCCAAAGAACACCATACCTACTGTGAAACATGGGGGTGGAAACATCATGCTTTGGGGCTGTTTTTCTGCAAAGGGACCAGGACGACTGATCCGTGTAAAGCAAAGAATGAATGGGGCCATGTATCGTGAGATTTTGAGTGACAACCTCCTTCCATCAGCAAGGGCATTGAAGATGAAACGGGGCTGGGTCTTTCAGCATGACAATGATCCCAAACTCACCGCCCGGGCAACGAAGGAGTGGCCTTGTAAAAAGCATTTCAAGGTCCTGGAGTGGCCTAGCCAGTCTCCAGATCTCAACCCCATAGACAATCTTTGGAGGGAGTTGAAAGTCCGTGTGGCCCAGTGACAGCCCCAAAACATCACTGCTCTAGAGGAGGTCTGCATGGAGGAATGGGCCAAAATACCAGCAACAGTGTGTGAAAACCTTGTGAAGACTTACAGAAAACGTTTGACCTCTGTCATTGCCAACAAAAGGTATTGAGAAGAACTTTTGTTATTGACCAAATACTTATTTTCCACCATAATTTGCAAATAAATTCTTTAAAAATCAGACAATGTGATTTTCTGGATTTGTTTTTCTTATTTTCTCTCTCATAGTTGAGTTATACCTAGAATGAAAATTGCAGGCCTCTCTCATCTTTTTAAGTGGGAGAACTTGCACAATTGGTGGCTGACTAAATACTTTTTTTTTAACTTTTATTGCACATCTAGCACATATTGCACATAGGTGGTTGGTATTTAACAGCAGCAAGTTACACAATTTACAAAATACATGCAGAAAACACTGTGGTCAGATTCTGAAAATGATGCAGCCTAGTTTATAATCCTAATGATAGAACATTGAAAAACGTTAGACATTTCAAGATGTCTCCATGGGCTCAGCGTTGGGCAGTATGCAATTTTGCATCTTCTAGATCAAATAAAGAATTGGTCTATTGAGAAATAACTAAGCCCTCAAATCAGAATGAAGTAGAGCCAAAATTATATAAGAAATGATTGCACAATAGCTGAAAATATTACATTTAAAAACACATTCAGTCGATCTTGATGGTCCATTTCTCCTTGACTCAGTAGCACCTAATCTCTAACCCTGCTCTCATCCTTTCCTCCAATATATCTGTTCCTTTTCGTTCCATATTTCCATTCCTTTCTTTTCCACCCGTTAACCAGCTGAACTTCTTGGAAGCCATCATCAGCTGATGATTCAGATGATTTCTTCCCCAAATGATTTCTCTCCCTTTAACTCAGTATAAACTTTCAAAAGGATAACAAATGATTGAGTAAACAACTCTTTTTGACCTTTCCAGCAACTTGGACTGACAAAAACAACCATGTCTTTAGGTATTTACTTCCCCTCTTTAATCGTAGAGTTGGACTGTGAATGCTCTCGTGGCTCTAAACACAGACCTTTATATTAAATCTAAGGATCCTGTCTAATCACAGGGCTGGGGACAAAATGTCTAAACATGGATATCAACCACAGCCAGTGATATCAAAACTACAGACCATACATGTCCTTTTTGTCAATAATAAAAACAAAGCTATGTTGTCCAGGAGATTATTATTTAAAGATTGATATGAAATAGTCTCAGCAGTGTTTCCATTAGTGGGGTCAATCCTCTTCCAGGCTGATGTAAGCCTAGGCAGGAGACAGTTGGCTAGATTTGTGTCTAGATGTGGCTGTCTGAGTTGGATCAAATGTTGGACAGTTTGCCGCTTTAGAGTGACCAGACTGAGCGGAGAGAAGGAGGACAGAAGAACACACACACGAGCACACACACATTTAGGCCCTCTGGAGTGCAGTGGAGCCTTGGCAAATTGATCAGAATAGGGGGATGTGTATGGATTTAAAGGGGGAGAGTCTGGGGCAGTGGCCGATTTTTAACTGCTTGGACGCCACAGTGAGGACCACAAGGCGGCCCGGGTGCTGACGCGGCGCTGGCTGCAGCAGAAGTGCAGCGTTGCAACATTTGACAAGACATCAACAAGTGGGGGGGGGGGGGGGGGGGGTAGATCAATCTGGCACACCTTCGCTTTCGTTTCATCTTTAAAAAGGTCTCCTATCATGCAAAATGCACTTTTTTTATGTCTTTTACACATACATATGCGTCCCCGGTGTGTCAGGGAACTCACAAAGTGTCAGAAAATAAAGCCCTCTCTCTTTTCCTCCGTACCCAAATCTCTAAAAACGGGGGTACATTGGAGCTGATCTAAATTTGCTGCCGATATGACATAATATCGGAAATGTGGCTTTAACACCCTATCAGAAACATCGCTATCAGAAACAATGCGCAACGTTTTGGAAGTAATATGGTCTGGGTAAAATTTGAGCTCAGGCGTTAGCTTTTCCCCCCCACTTTAAAAAAAAAAAAAGGCTAAGGACCCAGAATCAGCACTTCTCTAACACGGCTGAAATAGAGGGATATGTCGAATGGGTGATGTGTTTGGTATTTTGAGCAAAGCACTTCATGGAAATGTTTTTCATATATTTGTACATATATATATATATATATATATGAGACCTATACTACATGCCTAAAAACAGTATAATAGGAGACCTTTAAAAACTTGATTTTGAAGTTTGCACAGATGGAACAAAACGAACAAACATGATTCTAAAGCCCTGCTTTCATTCGATCGTGCACAGTGAGCTTGGTTTGTACAGAAAAAAACAAGGGAGTGAACCCATAAACTGATAGCTGGTGTTGGCCCCGTGCAAGACCTGGCAACTGCACGCAACAGCCTGGAGGAGACCCTGATGAGAGTCCCAATCCATTTCTTCCCCGGTTCAACCCTTTGCTATTCCTTTCTTTGATTTATTATTGAACATGAAAGCATACAGAAAGTCTCTTGGTGTTCTTTCTGCAGAAAGAACACCAATAATGCCTCCAGGTTGCTGCAGTGAGAGACAAAGTGCACAAGATAACCATCAAAAGCAACAAGAAAAAGCCAGTCATTTGGCTTTACAAAACCAATATTACGAAAAATGTAGATAACGAGAAGATATACAGTATGAGGAGGAGCGAGTAGAGGAAGTAAATCTACCTTCTTAGTTTTGGCTTTCTTCTCAAAGGTGTCCGACAGGGGTTTCTTCTTTGGCTGCAGCGTGGCCTTCGAGAAAAGATCCTCAAACTCATTGGCGTCGAGATTTGGTTCCTCCAGAGAACCCCACAGTGTGTTGTTGCTGGAAAATAAAAGGCAATATTTTAATATGTGATTTATTTTATGCTTTTTACATAAATATATGCATCAAAACTAAAACTCCCTATGACAGTGGCTCACAGTCCAGGCTTTATTTGAGCTAAACAAATTGTGTGTTCTATTTGTGGAAGTGTATTTGATGTTTATTCAACCTGCCCACTGCTTTTCATTTTCCATTTCGCTGTCCCGCAAAAACTTGGCAGGAAGGACTGCAATCTCAACTTTAAAAAGCACTGTTTATGAGCGAGGTGATAAAAATAACAAAAGTTTCAGACGTGCTTGTTTCTGTAATATGGGGCCATTCCCGGGAAATGGACTCAAATACGGGAGGCAATGTTGTGTTTCAGAAGTTGCCGAGTAACGTGGAAAAAACAAACAGAGGCAGAAATAAGATCAAGAGGTGTCTAAAGTCAAGAGGATGTTCAGGATTTAAGAACTCTGTTGCTGTAACAATTCCATCTGTGTCTGCTTTACTTTACTAAGTCTATTAATAAAATGCTTACCAACAAATAAACATATTCAAACAACAGATTTTGGAATGACGACATTCTTAATACGCTGCACATGCCTAAATACTGGTTTCCTATTGTTTAACACGTCGCAGGCTCATTGTTTAATGACATTACATCTCATATGTGAGGTCATGAGATTGGCAGGTCATTTCCCCCAAATCAAGGCCCAGTTACAATGAAAAGAGATCCTGGACACAGCACACTAACACAAGAGCTTGCAGGTTTATCGTGGCTTAAATAACAGAACAATCAACTGCATTGCCAGTGACTCAATTAGGGCCGTGTAAGTCCAATTGTTTCTGCATGCTGTTGGCCTCATATTGCTTAGTAAGAGGCGGCCAAGAAGTTTTTCTGTTGAAGACATAATGATTCTGTCCTGAAAACGCTTTGATTTTGTACTCCTTTTCCGATAGACTGAGGAAAATAAGACAGCCTACGACTCCCAACTGTGCAGGAAACCATCTTGGAAAAGAAAACAACATCCAAAACCCCAAATATATTTCCACACAGGACCACTTTCTAATTGACCGGATTACGACAGTTATTGAATTTGAATCCTATCTTAAAGTTCCCATTTCTTTATTTCCCAAGAAAGTTTGCCCCGCATTCTGCCAACCATACTTTATGTTCGAGCTCACATTCAGACACCTGGCATCATTTCAAACCGTATACTGTTCCCTCCCTCATAACTCAGAAACCTCACACCATTAACAGAGATCACACAGCTGATCCAGCTATAGTTAAACATCTGACCCATTTAATGCCCCTTAACTTGGCCCTTTACAGTTAAATTTATAGCTGACGTGAAACTGCTGTAGTGTAGTCAGGCAGTCCTCCAGGCAGCGCTGGCCAGGACCCGAGAGAAAGAGAGAGTGCGAACCACAACTCAGTTTCCCCCCGCTAATCCAGCCATGGAAATACAAGGCCATAAAGCTGGAAGCCTGGCACTCGGAGGCAACAACCACAGCCACTGTAAATGGGCTGGATAATCCACTTACAATTACAGAGTGTCTCAACAGTGCCAGAAGACGAGGGAGCATGGGGCACACGGCATATCTTTGATATCTCTCTGAACAAAGCTAAACTAAGATCCCATTAAGATGTCATATTGATGACATCCTGCAGAAATCCACCAAATAAATCACTGAGGAGTAAGGTTATTCAGTTGTTACGGTAATTAATAACAAATACAAATGTGATTTGAGCTTCTACTAATCCTAGCTTTTTCTAGCCTTGGGTTTATATCAGAAATAAATGCAAGTGTGAAAAGCAACTCTTTGATTGATTTTTGTTGAAAATGTTTTTTTGAAATTCCAAAGGATATCTCCAGTTAATTATGATTTGGGTCTCATTTTTGTGGTTTTGACCCCCACAAAAGTCATTTCTGATATCGTAAAACATGGCAACATCTCTACATTGATGTCCAATAATGAGAGAAATTAGTTGTCAAACAATAAGAGAGGCTGTAAACAAGTCAAAAGTTAAGTATCCAAACCACTTATTTCTTCAGATAATTTGGCCCCCAACAAAATGTCGACAATTATCCCTCGCTGCACAGAAGAATTGTGTGTTCACAAATATGTTAAGTATGGTAGGTCAAAGTTGAAGCAGGGGGTCAGTCTATAAATTGTGTTGGATGTTAACAATGGACAGTTTGGGCACTAAATCTACCTTTTTACTGTGCTCTCTTTCAAATACATTTGGCTAATTTGGTGTTTAGCACCAGTATGGTCACCTGACTGCTTGTGTATCCTGCCCAGTTGGACTTCTCCATAGCAATACTGCCACTTTCTCTGCAATTTACTTGCTGAGTATAACAGTTGTTATTACGAGCTGCAATGATGGACAAATCACTGAAAATAAGAACAAAGTTGCAATCAAGTCCAATTATCCTTTCAAGAAGAAATGAGAGATTTAAAGCGATGTTCCACATACTTATTGTCCTGTATCTGTATTCTGGTCCAGTACAGGGGCTTCATGGGACAGGCTGGCTCCACTGCAACTTTCCTGGGGGCCTTCTCCACCTTCGGGACAAAACTGAAGCCCCCCATAGGGGGAGGAGGCGGCGGGCCTCCGCCTGGTGGAGGTGGAGGAGGAGGTGGGCCAGAACCAGGTAGGCCAGGAGGGGGAGGAGGAGGTGGTGGGGGGCCAAAACCAGGTAGGCCGGGAGGGGGAGGGGGTGGCGGCGGCGGAC